AACACGTAGTTATTAACAAATAAATGAAAAACCCAAATTGGTTCAATCGATTCAGCAGGTTTGGACCATGAACCACACAAATTCAATCGGTTTAGTCTCTGACTTCTCCGGTTTAATTCTGATTACATTTTATCCGAAAACAAAAGGGAGTACCTTCGTTAAAATCCTAAAACCCTAATTATATTTCAACCAAAACTTCACTTTGGAGCAGAGAGAAACAGAGAGAGACAATGAGTATCATCGCAGGCTCCTACGAGAGGTTCATATGGGGTTTCAAGCTTAAACCCACCAAACACGACGCCGATAATCAAACCCTAACCCTTACTCCTCTCTTCTCTTACCCTTCCCACATCTCCCCAATCACCACCGTCGCTTGCTCCGGTCCCGCCGCTGCTTCCGGCGGCAACGACGATACAATCCATCTCTACGACCTCCCTTCCGCCTCTTCCCTCGGCTCCCTCCTCGACCACAATCACACAGCTTCAATCACCGCCCTCTCCTTCTTCACTCCTGCTTCCCTCTCCTTCCCTCGTAATCTCATCTCCGCCGCTGCCGATGGCTCCGTCGCCATCTTCGACACCGATCCTTTCGTTCTCCTCAAATCCTTCCGTCCTCATAAGAAGGCAGTCAACGATCTCTCGATTCATCCGTCTGGGAAGCTCGCTTTGGCCGTTTACCGTGACGAGTTCTTCTCGATGTTGAATCTCGTGAGAGGAAAGAGGAGCTTCTGTTGCAGGCTAGGGCACGAGGCGACCCTTGTGAAATTCGATCAGACTGGTGATAGGTTTTTCATGGTGTCGAATAGTAAAGTTGGAGTTCATCAATCAGAAGATGCTAAGCTTCTTTTCGAGCTCGACAGTCCTAGCCACAAGCGTATACTCTGTGCTGCTCCTGGAGAGGTAAAGCTTTTCTCTTACTTTATCTCTCTATATAAAAACTTGTGCTCAATTTCTCTATAACCCTCTTGGATCCTAAGATTTTGTACATGTTTGAAGTAAGGAACTTTTAGATTCTTAGCAGAAAAACTCTCCTCACCTAACATGTTAGTTCTTGTATGTGTTTAATGCTACATCAAAATGGTTTTAGAGCTGTGTTATTCCCTTCTTTGTTGCTAAAGTGTGAGTTGCAGAAGAACCCACCATGAAAATAGTCAAATTTATGACTATTTTAGTATTTAGTCCTATACTGAATGTTTGCTTCTTTTGCTCAATCTCTTGTTTTGTTTTATTTTAGTATTCAATCCTATACTGAATGATTGATATTGTGTTGTAACGTTTGATTCCTGGAAATGGTGATGGTTTTGATTCAGAAAGTTTTATTCTTTGGCTAAAATGTTTGCTCGATCTGCAACAGAGTGGAACTCTGTTTACAGCTGGTGAGGATCGGGCAATAACAGCTTGGGACACAAATAGTGGGAAGCTTGCTTATTCCATAGAAGATGCTCACCCAGCTCGCATCAAAGGTGTTGTGGTTCTTACCAGAAACGATAGTGAAGGTGCATCAGAAGATCCATACTTTGTTGCTTCTGCATCTTCTGATGGGATCATACGTGTTTGGGACGTGAGAATGGCGGCTAAAGAGAATGCAAAACCATTAGCCGAGACAAACACTAAATCAAGGCTTACATGTCTTGCCGGGTCAACTCTTAAATGTGAGTTTTATTCTCTTTCCGCATTTTGCTCGTTTCTTATAAAACATACAAAGATAATGTATAAAAGCTCCGACAAGTTGTGACTTATGATTCTTCATCTTTCTCTGTTTATTCAGCTAAGAGACGGCCACAGATGGGGAAGCAAAAAGCTGAGAAGGTAGAAGAAGTGCAGAACCCGGAAGAATGAAAGCTGTTTATTGACTACAAAAGTTTTTTGAGCTGGCAATTTTCTGGTGCAAGTTTTGGTAGAATCTTAAAATATGATCCATTAGGTTTCTTGTCGAATTACAATTATAACACAATTGTCTTAAACCGTTTGTATTTGTGAAAGAAAACCATTCTACTATCTATCATTTATATGAGTTACGCTTTATGTTAGTCTCTCACTCCTAATTCGGTAATAACTAATTCATTGAAGCAAAATGTTGTGTAGTAAAGCCGATTCAACATTTAGGTTTTCCATAAATGAAAAAAGAATTACATTTTTCACACCATATGTAATTATTCAATGTGTTGACAATCAGAGTCTTATGCTGTAAGGATGAAGAAATGCCTCAATCAATACTGAGTAGTGTTGTTTGGGATTTTGCCTTGTTTCAACTGAGAAAGAGCATATTCGCCAGTACGGATGAGATCGGCGACGTTGTGTTTAGAGATCTCCTCGGAGCCAAACAAGAAGATGGTCTTGACCTCAGCTTTCTTTGCGAGTCTTGAAGCGTAACTAAGCTGCAATTTCGGTGAGTTGATGCTCCTCAGTAACTGGCGGTACAAGGAGAGAACTTTCCCTCTGTTTTTTGCAGCCTCTTCTGCTGTTAACCATATCAGACTCGTCATGACAAAATCGGAATACAAGAGGCAATGTTCCTGCAACAAAAGTTGTTCAGTGAGTAATTTTGTCGAGCACCTGGTGCGCAATAACCAAACACCAGACAAATATTAAACTTAATGGTGACGAAACATCAATCACCCGAGCAATTCCGTAGCTAGAATAAGCAGAATTAAAGAAATGTTTATATTCATATCACAAAAGCACCTTCAAATCGGAGATTTTAGCTGTGGGAAAGTCAAATTCGATATAAGAACAAATACTCTTCAAAGACTCTAACTACCCTTCAGGAAAACTTTAATATGGGTGTTATAGGCCAAAAGCCCACTAATATTAGAAAGCCTGAAACTTTTTTTTTATTAATGAAGTGTCTAAATGGTTAACTCAACATAATAATACGATTAATATCTAATTGGATTTGATTGGGTTAAGTACTTAATGGGTAAATAGCTCAACAACCCATTTAGTAAATAGGCCGGATAGCTAACACAATCATCATACCATCATCATCATCATTATTTTATCTTCAACATCATCATGAATATTCACCGGTTGTATAAAATAAACTATATACACGCGCGCGCGCACACATACTAGTATGTTATTGATTGCTTAGTTCATAAAAAATCTCTACACATACCTAAGTTGATCCTCTCCTCCTCAGAAGACAATATGGGAACAAAAATAATACACACATAGACCTAACGATATATAAAGATAATCGAAAAGAAACAAGAAAATAATAAGACTTGGGTGCAAAGCAAAAGGATTACGGTTTCTTGAGAGAAACTCATCCCAAAAGGTGGAAACAATGAGTGCATTATAAATATATGAGTGCATCATCTTCTTCCAATATGCTGATCTCATCATTGATAATCTTGGTGTAAAACTTATAAATTCATCATTATTATACAAAGGAATCCATATGCTCTAATTTATTATTTTTAATCTATGATTTTTCCGAGGTTTGCACACCGTACCGAGACAATATATGTATGGCAGCACGTGAGGGTAGTTTGTTGGTCCGTCGTTCTACAAATTTAACTACTACATGACAGAAACATGTATGATGTACTGTATATGTATACCTACAATTGTGTGTTTTGGTCGAATGGTCGGGAAAGTTATTCATACCAAAATGGTAAATGACAATACTAGCTTTGTTAAATCGAACAAGACCCGAGAGGCAAGTACTATATATCTCGGACAAATGTAAAGCCACTTTCGATAATAAAGTAACAACGCCGGTGAAACATAATACAATGCCGGTGAGCATAATAAAGTAAAGCCACTTTCGAACCGATACTAGCAAGTAGCAACAATGCCGGTGAAATAAACATTATTTTATCGCACACTATAAGGGTATTTTGAAATTTAAGATAAGTCGAACAAAAGGCGAGAGGCAACTATTGTCACATGACGGTAGTCTGGTAAAATAAATTACATAAACGTAATAAACTAAAATGATTTAATCTCATTTTTTTAGCTGTCCTGTCTCTCATAATTTACCTTGAAAAGATATTATTTCAGATGTCTTGCTTTCATTTGCTTCTAAGCATGTTTTAATGATTGTTTGGGTTACATTACAACATAGCCAAATTATAATTTTGAGTTTGTCAATTTCTTAAGATTCCTTAACCTGTATACTAATTTGATTACCGAAAAAGGGTTGTATAAAAAATCCAATTCGATAGTCGCAAAGTTGAAATAATAAGAATTTTTTATAATACTCAAGTACTGTATATTACAAAAAAAAGTCCTAGGATATTTGATACTTTGAGACTACAAGCACGTGTCAAAGGCATGGAATTTGTGGTTCGGCGGCTAAGTGAGGGACCGTAACAGTTCCCAAGGAGTTACTGTTACAGTGATACGATTAATGTTCCTTCATTTGTTATTATCTCTACACTTTATCCCTGTCTTTTTATTACTCTAATCTACGCAGCTACGCTTGTAATTCGTGTTTCTGAGGACCACTATGACATTTTATTTTTGAAGTAATACTTTTCACAGTCTTAGTCACAACTATACTAACAGTCGGTAAAAAAATATGATGAAATCGATCTATATTCAAATGCACACACATCGTAAACCCATAAGTGATTTAATAGAAATTTTGGGTTTGCACATATAAAGTTGATCGATTTATGATTATGAATTACAAAATGTTTAATTTATTTGTAATACTATCATTTTTTACATCACTAATCAAATCCAATAATATTGCAGCATAATTATTTGTTGGGAACCCTTTAATAAGGGTGTTAGAATGTTTTTTGGGGTTTTTTTATCAACATTATCCACCCACACATACTACCATTGAAGACACTAGTACAAAACTACAGTAGTAGTAAGATACAAGTTTTCTTATGAATAATATTTGTCTTAAGGTGTATAATATAATTCATCTATTTAAATGCTGACATGAATTGATATAATGTTGTTGAGATTGTAATTAATTGATTACAATATGATAAAAAAGGTATAACTAACCTAAATAAATACCCTAGAGGACCAACCAATCTCCCATTCTGTCGTCACCTTCCTTCAACCATCTTCTTAATTTCCACATCCCAATTCCCTTCTTCACTCTCTGTTAATTATTAACTCTGAGAGTAAAGAAGAAAAATCCAAATTCAGAAGAAATGATCCTTCTCTCTCTTCTTCTCCACCTTCTTCTTCATCTCATCAATTCTCCTACTTCTCTTTCTCTCTCCCCCGACGGTCTCGCCTTACTCTCTCTCAAATCCGCCGTCGATCAATCTTCCACCGCCTCCCCTGCTTTCTCCGATTGGAACGATAACGACTCCGATCCTTGCCGCTGGTCCGGCATCTCCTGTATGAACATCTCCGACTCCTCCGGCTCACGCGTTGTCGGAATCTCCCTCGCCGGAAAGCGTCTCCGTGGCTACATCCCCTCGGAGCTTGGCTCGCTAGTCTACCTCCGCCGTCTTAATCTCCACGACAACGAGCTTTACGGTTCGATTCCGACTCAGCTCTTCAATGCGACGGCGCTTCACAGTCTCTTCCTCTACGGAAACAATCTCTCCGGTTCTCTGCCTCCTTCGATCTGTACCCTCCCAAGGCTTCAAAACCTCGATTTGTCTGGGAATTCGCTCTCTGGAACTCTCTCTCCGGATCTCAGCAAGTGTGAACAGCTCCAGCGACTGATCCTCGCCGCTAACAACTTCTCCGGTGAAATTCCGGGAGAAATCTGGCCGGAGCTGAAGAATCTCGCACAGCTCGATCTCTCATCAAACGAATTTACCGGTTCGATCCCTAAGGATCTTGGAGAACTCAAATCAATCTCCGGTACTCTCAATCTCTCCTTCAACCATTTATCCGGCGAAATCCCCAAATCCCTTGGAAACCTACCAGTCACCGTCTCTCTCGATCTCAGGAGCAACGATTTAACCGGAGAAATCCCTCAAACCGGCTCATTCTCAAACCAAGGACCAACCGCATTCCTCAACAATCCGAAATTGTGCGGATTCCCTCTCCAGAAATCCTGCAAAGACGCAGACCAAACTTCGCCGGGAACTCGAAAACCGCCGGCGAACAACGTTGATTCCGGAAAAGGGCTAAGCACGGGACTAATCGTGCTGATCTCGGTGGCGGACGCCGTGAGTGTAGCACTAATCGGGCTGGTGATAGTTTACTTGTACTGGAAGAAAAAAGACGCAGACGGAGGATGCAGCTGCACAGGGAACGAGAAACTCGGTGGTGGCGCAGAGAAAGGAAAATCTTGCTGCTGCATCTCCGGGTTCCCGAAAGTAGACGATTCAGATGCAGAGGATAACGAGAGAGGAGATGGTAAAGGAGAAGGAGAGCTAGTAGCGATCGATAAAGGGTTCTCGTTCGAGCTGGACGAGTTGCTGAGAGCTTCTGCGTATGTTTTAGGGAAGAGTGGGTTAGGGATAGTGTACAAAGTGGTGCTCGGGAACGGAGTTCCGGTGGCGGTGCGGCGGCTTGGGGAAGGAGGAGAACAGAGGTATAAGGAGTTTGTGACGGAGGTTCAAGCGATGGGGAAGGTGAAACATCCTAATGTGGTGAAGCTAAGAGCTTATTACTGGGCTCCTGATGAGAAGCTCTTGATCAGTGACTTTGTCAATAATGGCAGTTTAGCTGATGCTCTTAGAGGTAAACCTTACTCTAACCTACTTCAACTTTTTTTTTCTGTGATCCAGATCGAATTTAACCGAACCATAGAATATGCAATTGAATTGACCATAACAATTAAACTTTAGGTTGACTTTGTCAACGCCTCTGTATGTTGACGTCAGATTGAGGTTAGATGTGACATAATTTTGTTTGTAGGGTCAAAATCTTATTTTCATTTGAGTGGTTAAGAAGATCCCATCTACAAACTACAAAGTACAAACTCAAATATTCTTTTGATTTTACTTTTTAAGTTTAGTTTTGTTTTGTCTACACACACACACTCCTCAATATTCTATTGAAACAAAAACTATGACCAGCTAACTGTTTTTTTTATATTGTTTCTTTCTTTCCCTTTAAGGCATCTTTTATTAGTTTAAAAATAACTAACATCCACTGTGGGATAATTCTACAGTTTAAGGATTATGATTTAGTAATGTTAGAGTCGTAGAGTAGAAGTAATTAGTAAAAATAAATATATAGTGAGAAACTGTGATGAGAGATTTGTATATTGGAGTAGGAGGAGAGAGGTTCCTTGTGCGCTAAGAGTAATGATTCTACAAACCTACCTCTCTGTATCCTTTTAGTTGACCCGTCTTTTTCTCATTGTAATTTCATTATTATTTTGTATTCTTTTATTTTAATAGGGAGGAATGGTCAACCATCACCAAGCCTAACATGGTCAACGAGGCTAAAGATCGCGAAAGGAGCGGCACGTGGAATCGCATATCTACACGAGTGTAGCCCAAGAAAGTTAGTACACGGCGACGTTAAACCTTCCAACATCCTCCTAGACTCTTCCTTCACTCCTTACATCTCCGATTTCGGTCTCACACGTCTCATAACCATCACCGCTGCTTCCTCCTCCTCCAACGAGCCTTCCTCCTCCTCCACCGGCGGCGGTTTCTTAGGCGGAGCCCTTCCTTACACTTCCATCAAACCCTCGGATAGATCCAACGGCTATAAAGCTCCCGAGGCTCGTCTCTCTGGAAGCAGGCCAACTCAGAAATGGGACGTTTACTCGTTCGGTGTTGTGCTTATGGAGCTTCTCACCGGGAAGTCGCCGGATTCTTCGCCGTTAAGCTCATCCTCGTCGTCGACGGTTGTTGTTGAGGTGCCAGATTTGGTGAAGTGGGTGAGGAAAGGATTTGAAGAAGAGACTCCGTTGTCGGATATGGTTGATCCAATGTTGCTACAAGAAGTTCACGCTAAGCAACAAGTCTTGTCCGTTTTTCATCTCGCTCTTGCTTGTACCGAAGGTGACCCTGAAGTTCGTCCACGTATGAAGAATGTCTCGGAGAACATTGACAAAATCTGATTCAATTATCACCATATTCTTTTTTTTGTATTCTATTTTTTTTTTTTTTATACATCTCTCCGATAGTCCTTACACGAGATGCCCATACATCACTCCGGAGTATAGGGATCAGACATAGATCTCTGTTTTTGTTGAATAATTAATTATTTGTAATGAAAATTCAATCAAATGGGATGGACTGATTTTGCCGAAACACGGACAAAACAAAAATATGGAAATAAATATAATTATCTCATATATGTTTTATCTAAAATTTGAGACGTAACGAAAACTCCAAAAAAAAAACTAAAAAAAATAATAATGATATAACACATTTTTTTATTATATTATTAAACCTTTATATAGGTTACTGATAGTTAAACCACAAGTTAAAGTTTTGTATAAGTCTCCTACTGGTAACAAGAATTCTCGAAGGTAGTTTTAGTAAAGGGTTATAGTTTGGGTATCGCATCCAAGTGATAAGTCTAATGGAAGTAATCTAAAAGAGAGTATGATGAGAGTATGTAGGAACTCTCTTTTCATGGATGTTATGTTGTACGATAGAGGGAAAAAGGCAAGTTTATCTCGATTAGCGTTCTTTCCGAGGGATAGCTAATATGTCCACTTCAGTCTTGTTGTCTAAATAGAACCAGGACAAGCTTTAGTGAAACAGAGATCGGTGGTATATCCTCTCTTTCTCTCGCTCTCCATCTTTTCGTGGTGTATGGGTTATATAGTTCCTTGATCCCGGATCCCCGATCATCTTCTCCTTTGGCCTTAAATCTCTTTTTATACTCTCTTTTCTTTGACAAGTTTTATTCACGGGCACGATGCGAAAACAGATGGGATAGATTAGTACGCGTGGCTCAGTAAACTTCCTACATGCCTGGAAATAGTTTGCTAGGGAGTCGTTAACAGGCTTAGGTGAAGAAGTCAGCGCTCGAGCGGAGTCCAATAGCCACATGTCACCTCAAAGGTGATTGCGGAAAATATGGACCCAACAATTTTAACTTTTTATCAAGTTTAAAATTTTATATTATTTAGTTAATTTGAATGGTTTTATTAAAAATTATATTAAACTAAAAATATTTATTAATATTTGACTAATAAATTAGGCTTCCTATTTATATAATTTTTTATATCATTTATGTTGTTTTTTATAATTATTTGTGAACCATTTACACATTTTCATTTCAATGTTGAGTTTTTAAAACATACTCATATTTATTTAATATTTGAGTAATTTATATTTGTTTTTAGAAATTCAAGTTATATATAACACATGTGATATATCATGGTGTTTATGAGTTTTGACCATGATATAGTTCTTGTTTATAGAGTTTTTTTGGTATTTTTCAAGTCTTTTTGAGTTTTTTCAAGTTTAAGTATGCTTGGAGCATAATTAGAGATTTGAAAACATTTTGGAGCTATATTGAAGATGTTGCTGAAAAGACCAACTCGGAGATAAAATTGGAAAATGTACTAGCTGTCTTCCATTATGGACACAAAATTTTAAAAAATTTAGAATTTCAATGTGGCCCAAAATTTTTTCATTATTTGCAACTTGTCCTACTCGTGTTTTAGAATCAATATTTAGGTTTTCAGAGCCATTGTTAGGCCATTATCTTATTTTTTTTATTGAGACTTAGAGATAGATTATATCATGAGCTTTTGGAGAGACAAATTCATACTCTGTTCTTAGAGAAAATTGTGAACCCTCTTTCTATCTTTTTTTCTATTTTATGCAGTTTAGTTTATTTATGATGTCTTTTTCTTTCATCATGTGTGAGTAATCTGTTAGTTGGGTTTTTGGTTTTTCAAGGGTTGATGATAAGTTGTTAAAATCGAACTATTATTGGGATAAATCTCTTTCTTCTTCATCTAGATTGCTTTAATACTGTTTTTAAGATTGTTCACCTTGAAATCAGATCTTAGGTTAATTAATAGATGTAAAACATTGTTGATTGTCTGAACTATCTTAGATGAGCAAAATATCTACCTACAAGGGAATTTGGTTTAGAGATTTTGTGAACAGATCGAACCTGATTTTATTGCTCGTCTGAATTGTTTGAATTTGCAAAAGAATTTGAAATTCTAGGATTTATACATAGATAATCTCTGAAACAGAAGTTGATTGATTTTACAATTTATGTTTTGAGTTCTGGAACGGTTCTTAATTAATTGTCCTAACGGTTTTCATTATGCATCTTAGAACCCAACCTGCTAATTATCCAAAGCTTAGCATATTGTCTTATTGATTTTAAAACCTTCAAATCGAATCTCTACTTTCTTTTAGTTCACTTGCATTGCATTTATTTAATTCTCTTAGCTTAATTCAAACACATAATTTGATGTGTGACTTCTTTAAATCTCTTGAAATTTTGATATCTTTTATATTATAATTATTTTGCTGTGCACTTGCAGTAGTTTATTTTGATGAATACCTATCAACATGTACAAAAAATATTTTTTTTTTACTACATAAATAATGTGATTATTTACTTTTCTAAAAATAAGTTTAAACAAAATTAAAAGAAAAATAGATTATGTAAAAAAATAATTAATATAATATATTTTTGGTAATAAATAAAAAAGGAGAATATTTTTTTATAAATTAAATACTGAATTATGTATAAATAATTAACATAAACTATTATTTAATCAAATTTAAATGAGTTGCATAAATTATAATTAGTCTAAAAATATAAATATTTTTTTAAAAAAATTTTGGTCTATCTGTGGACCAGTCTCTTTCTCTCTGGGCAAGTCTTTTTATGGTTCTGCAGCACAAACAGCTGACGACACAAAGTCTCACAAGTAGAATATTGTCCAAAAAACGCATTAAACTTGATGAATATCACTTTTATCTTTCTTTTTTAGTACGTCTTAACATCACTTCTCAATTTCAAAAGCATATGCAGAGGATTGGTTTAGACTTTAGACTCGTTATTAAGATGCATTAAAGCCCACTTCCAAGCATGATTTACGGTGTCTTTGCCCATTAATTATAGGTTAATACTATTAGTAGCTAACAACAAAACCGTTGTCTCTAATTTTTTTTTAGAGTTTTAGCAAAATCAATATTAACTGTTATTAACAAAATATGACGAACTTATTTTGAAATTCTTGTATTAGGACCTATTGCAGATTTTTCTGTACGCCACATCACTTTGCTGTTCATATAGTTGCTCTGCGGTGCCTTGCCCATTAGTTATGTGTTAATATTATCAGTAGGTAACAACAATTTGAAACTGTTGTCTTTCAAAAATCTAAGAGTTTTAGCAAAATCAAATGTTATTAACAAATGTAACACCCTAACACCTTTCCACCAGTGAGGCTCCACGTTTGTTTTTGAACTTGTGACCTGCATCTGACGGTCGATGCATTAACCGGTAGATTTGAAAGTTATGATATATTGATTATTTTATTGCTATACGATTTTTTTTCGTAGTTTGTCCTCATTCACACGGTTCTGGAAATCACTTTCCAAAAAATCATATATTCTAATACTATTCCAGCTTAAGCACATTTAATTCTGGAGTTCTCTCAGGACCAGTGACCGAACAGATAAGTGCATTTTGGTAACATAGGTAGCTAAACCAATTCTTTTAAGCCTCTCCACATATACATTCATAAATCGGGATGTTATAACAAAACTAATTACTAATAGCATACTAGGGAAATAATGGGGGTTCACATTTTTTAATGAATTTCAACGTTGTTGATGAGAAACTTGATAATCCTCACAAGTAGAATATTAGTAACTAACAACACTCTAAGACCGTTGTCTTTCAAAAATCTAAGAGTTTTAGCAAAATCAATATTATATGTTATTAATAAAACCAATCACTGATAGTATCTATGGGAAATAATAGGTATTCACTTTCTCTATAGAATTTTCGAAGTTGTTGATGAAAAAACTTGATAATCCGAAACCGTTTTCTTTAAAAGTCTAAGATTTTTAGCAAAATTAATATTATATATTATTAACAAAGCTAATTACAGATAACATATATGAGAAATAATGGAGGTTCACATTCATTATAGAAATTCTGAGGTTGTTAATGAAAGGAAGAAAGGTCATACTCATATGCTAAATTTTCTGCTATAGAAAAAAGGCCAAATGTCAGATTCTTTGCTGCAATGGTTTATTTAGGTCTCTATAAAGCTAGTTATGAGGTGTATCACTTGCAAAGTCTACCAGAGCTGATTGAGTTGTTTTCCAAGTTCTAAACAATCTAAAACGAAGCAACATGAAGTTTTTCAAAATATTCTGTTTATAAACTTTCAGGTCAAGGTTTTTCGAATATGGAAGATTTGTTATAGAGAATGAGAGATAATATAAAAAGTGATTACATGAAGGGTTATTAGAAGAATAGAAGATGAACAGAAGCTCGATCAAGCTTGATCGAAAATGAATTCAAGCTCGTAAGAGAAGAAATGTGAGCAAAGAAGATGACGCTCAATCTGGAATATTTTTGTTGTATTGAATAATGCTCGATACAAAATATATGTACAATTAATTCTTTAACCTAGAACAAACGGGTATATGTTATTTACATCTAAACAACATAAACTGAAATATAAAAATTTGATAAGGGTAAAGATTAAAAAGAATAAATCTAGAATTAAAGGAGAAAAAAAGCCGAAGATATCTAAAAAGGAGAAGAAAGAAAAAGACGGATTCATTTAGAAGAAATTAAAAATATTGATTTCATCTTCTTCTTCTTGATTTCCTCTGTAACAACTTTGATCCATTATATATAAAATAATATGTTTTTCTTAATTTTTATAAATTAAATTTAATAAATAAAAATTAAGAAATCTAAAATATAATAAAACGAAGAAATCCAAAATTTAATCTGATGTCTTAAGAATTTTACATAAAAAAACTTGATTATCCTTATTGTCCCAAAAAAGCACTAGACTAGTCTCTAACTAAATTTTCAATAGTTTGGAAATACAGTATACACCAACCCTTGGTACGAACACTTTGTCCCATTTTCATAACTTTGAATCTACATAATCACAATCGCCAACCAATTAGCAACTTTCTACACAATTTTCTAATGGAAATCTTATAAAGAATACCATTATAGAAGTAAAAGAGAATCCCTTCATTTGCGAAGTGCACCATCCTAAATCCTGAGCTCAGCTGAAGCAATTAACTGATTGACCAACTTAGGATATAAAATATGTGTTTTAAACAATTGCTCCAAATCTCATTCTCTCTAACATTCTCTTTAACATTCCCTCCACATAGATTGAAGGGAGAAGCAAAATATGCGAACAAGATTTAAATTTAAATTAACAAAGAGTAAAAAAAGGAACAAGTATGAACATGATTAAAAAAATATATGTTAGTGATAATTTGAGGTTTAGTATAGTTTATTGGCACTAAAACTATTTTGACTGTGGTCAATGAAATTTGTTTTCAGGGTAGTGACTCAAAATATAACTTGAAGATAAGTGAAGGTATAGCTCATATAACAAGCGGGAGTTTCACTCGCCAAAAAGGTCCGTGGCACATGGGACTCGCATGTGTCGGAAGAAATTTCCGATCGCCGGTAAACAACATTGGAGTCAGTTAACGAAGCTGCCTCAGTTCAACCATTAAATTACTCTTTTGAATGTTTGGATCGGCCCACGAACTTATCCGGCCCAATAATTCAATGTTTGTAATTTTGTATTCCTGGATCTGACAGATTTATATGAACGAGAGAAAAAAACATTCAGGGGAACTAAAACCGTTTGGTTTAAAACATTTAAAACTACAGTACAACTAATTGGGTCCGTTTGTGTCGGTTTGATTATACAGTTTCGGATTTTGACCAGCCGTACTGGAGAATCCACCGGCGGGAATCATCATAATTCGGGGTTCCGGTCAAACTCTCAGAGGCAGCCATGGCTGATTCTCAGTCGGGTTCCAACGTTTTCAGCTTACGGATTGTTTCGATCGATTATTACATGGCTTCTCCGATCCCTGGATTTGACATTTGCTACAGCAGCTTCCAAGGTAAAAGCTTCGGCTTTGTTGAATCCAACGGTTCACTAAGACATGTCCACACTTTCACCAACATCTTCTCTCCATCTTGAACTTCTTCTATGCTTCTGTTCTTGCTTGATTGATTTAGGCTTGAGAAAGTTTTGATTTTTATAGTTGGGAAGACTATGGAAATGAAAGAACAGTGCTCCATTTGAGTTAGATAAGTCTTCTTCTAGATAAAGGGCTAATTTTGTTTTTTTTTTACTTTCTTCTATCTGATTAAGGTGGCGAAGTAAAGGAAGTCCCTGTTATAAGGATATATGGCTCCACACCTGCTGGTCAGAAGACTTGCTTGCACATTCATCGTGTAAAGTTCTTAATTTTACTTTCTTATTAAGAAATTTTGTTGTTTGTCAGTTCCTTATTAACTTTATTTCTCTTGCAGGCTTTACCATATCTCTATATTCCATGCTCTGACATTCCATTTGATCATCATAAAGGAGGTATGAAGCAATTCTACAGAGAATCGTACCGCAATTAGCTAGTCAAGTACCAGTGACAATTTTTTTCATGTTATTAATGCTTCAGTTGATGGCATTATACCTGCTGTATCTCTTGAGTTGGAGAAGGCTTTAAAGGTGTGTTGTTTTACATACCAAGTGACCCATGATTTGAGCTGCCTTTATTTGGTGTGTCTTTAATTAATATTCCTCCCTGATGATACTTGATATGGACTTGTAGCTTAAGGGCAGCGCTGCTTCGAAAAGGCAGCATGTCCATGACTGTGAGATTGTTAGAGCTAAGAAGTTTTATGGGTACCACTCAACAGAGGAGGCTTTTGTGAAGATTTATCTGTATCCTGTATATTTGCTTTTAGTTCAGTACCCTTTTGCTTAGGCAGTATTATTTTTTGTTCACCTTGACAGTACAATAGCTACCATCCACACGATGTGGCTCGTGCTGCCAGTCTTCTTCTGGTACGATATCTTGATGATTCCGGTCCACTATTATTCTGTAGTTTATGTGTAATGCATAAAATTGAGTGAAAATGGTAGAATGATGGCGATTTTCATCTACCGTTTGTAATAAGCGTTTGTTTGTTTTTCTTGTCTCTCTAGGATGGTGCTGTTCTTGGTAAAAGTTTGCAGCCTTACGAGTCTCATATTCCTTTTATTCTCCAGTTTCTGGTAATTTTTCGTTGTTATGTATTTAAAAGAAATCGTGTGGCGACTACGTAGTCTGTCAAGTTTAGTAATTTTACTTATAAACGTAACTTCCTGATTAATAATACACTAAATACTTTCGAGGTACCTGAAAGTCCACTACTGAAGTTTTATTTGATTCTCTTCTATAGGTTGACTATAATTTGTATGGAATGGGTCATGTGCATATATCAAAGATGAAGTTCCGTAGCCCAGTGCCTCACCATTTCCGTCCAAGGAGATTTGGTTCTGATGATTGTGTGGGACAAGGGACTGACGAAGTGGCTAATACAAAGGTAGATCTTCAAATACTTGAAGCTTGGTAGTTTCTATCTTCTTTTATATCACTATACTGAAGCAATGTAGCAGGCAGATTCAAGTGCTGCTGCAAGCGTCAGTTTCCCTGTTTGGAGCTTGTCAACAATCCCAGGTCAATGGATGTGGAATCCTTTTGAAGGATCTGATACACCGTTGAGCCAAAGCCAGCATAGCCACCATTACAGACGTCAGAGTCTCTGTGAACTTGAGGGAGATGCTACTATTAGTGGTAATTTTCCTGAAACGAAATATATTTCTTTTGTTTCATATATGAACAGACCTTTGAACCAGCCTCTTCTCTTGTAGATATTCTCAATCAACAATTGAAAATGTACAACTCGCTCTCACAAGCCCAATCTGATACTAAGATGGTTCAGTCGCTTGTGGCCATTTGGGAGGTTCATCCAAATTTTCTTAGCTTTATACCTTGATGTAATTTAGTTGGTCTTCCCTTACCCAACCTCATCACTGTTGTGTCAGGAGGAGTATGAAAGGACTGGTGTGCATGATGCACCTATACCTCCTGATCCCGGCAAACCCTCTGCAGCTGATGTGCTGAAGACTATGTCACTTTATGCTGGGTTTGAGAATATGCTAAAAGAAATGCATCAGGAACTTGGATCATCTCCGTCTGATATGAAGCCTGCTGCAGTATCTTCAGCTGGTTCAGATATGCATGCCGAACCTGAAATTACGGATCTGCTGGGTTTGAGTCCTATGGTGGGTACATGCAGTGAGTTCCCCGCCTCAGCAAAGCTATCTCCACTTGATGAAAGGAGTGGAGAAGCATCATTGGAAAATGATGCATATATGCAAACACCCACGGACAGAGATACACTTGCTGAAATACAAGATGATGAAGCCTTGGATCTCTTTAAGTGGTTTGCTTCATCCCAGGCTGCAGAGGACATAAACTCTGATGATGAAATTCTCCGAGAAACCATCCTTAGTCCTCTGTTGCCTTTATCGTCTATCAACAAGGTTCTTGAAATGGCTAGTACAGATTTTCTGAGCCAATCCCAAAAGGAATGTCAAGACATTCTTGATTCTCAGGAGGATCGACCAGACTTCGGGAGTTCGACAAAAGGAGCTTTACATACTACTCTTGATAGCCAGAATCATATAACTTCATCAGACAAACAGTCTCTTGACACAGAAGTTTCTGGTGATGTTCCAAATATCTCAACTTCAAATGCATCAAGCGAAAATTCATTCCAGAGATACAGAAAGAGTGATTTACATGCGAGTGAAGTGATGGATAATAAGAATAGGAGCTTCTCTAGGAGCAACAAGTCTACCAAATCTGTATGGGGGACTTTACCTTTTTCGTTGACAAAAAATCTTCAGAAGGACTTTGACTATGCAAATGCTAGTGATAAACTCGGTTTAACAAAGATTAGCTCCGGCCCCAAGAATGAGATGAAAGACAATCTTGATGTTCCAGTCAAAGAACATCAAGCAGATGCTTGTAACACGACTGACAGAAGCGTTTTGGCTGGATGTTCAGTGCGGGACTTGATGAGAAAAAAACGGTTATGCCATGGGGAGTCGCCTGTTTCACAACATATGAAGTTTAGGAAGGTTCTACCTCTGACTAGAGACTCCGAAGACGGGAATAAAAAGGAGTGCATAGCCATCTTGAGATCTGAGGCCAAGAGACAAGGTACTACTCTTTCTGCAGAAGTTAGTGAATGTTACTTTGGCGATGATCCTCAAACTTTACCTCCTATAGACGCAGGAAATTGTGAGTTGAATATATCCACTCAGTCATCTGAACTTCATGCTGTTGATAGATGTTCGGCTAAAGAGACAGCAGGTCAAAACAGTGATGAAGTTTCGAGGGAATTTTCATCTGCCACTGTTCCACTTGGTAATGAATCACAGACTGTGGAATCAGGACTATTGGTGTCTAGCAAGAAACTTGTTGGGATTGATACAAATAATGTCCTAATTTCTGGGGATAAGCAAGAGTCAACTGCCGATGTAGTTGTCGAGACAGAAAGATTAATATGCCTAACTTTAAGCAAGAAGCCTCCTTCTCTCGATTGCCTAAGTGCTGGACAGCAAGAGTCTTCACATTCTCATGAAATCCCCATCCAGTTTCATCATGCCAGGGACAAACAGCATGATGGATGTGGTAACTTTACTCATCTTGTTCTGATTCTTGTTTCTGCTACTTCTACAATCAATGCAAATGCGGTTAAAACAGAAATCTATAAACATGAAGTTAGGTCACCTTAATTTTTTTGAGATTACTTCTGACGTTCTGTTGTTTTCTTTCTTGGAAGAGGGGAATTCCAAGGAGATCCCCCCTTTTTACTTGGAGGACACTGAAGTCAACGAGGACGAAAAGAAACACCTTTACCAAGGAGCTTCCATTGGTATTCCCTTGCATCATCTCAATGACGGCTCCAAGCTTTACCTACTGACCCCTGTCTTTTCACCCCCTTCTGTGGATTCTGTTGCACAATGGATATTGAATGACAAAGGTATTGTGTACTGTGCCTGATTAATATTTATTACAGTGTTGGATGCTGTAAAAGCAAGTGGAATTGATGATAAAACTTTTGAATTTTTCCAGGTCCAGGAGACGTTCATATTGGTTCAGAGAAACAACCATTAGGAGATGATCATATTGATTGTGGGACGAGTTTCACTGATCTGGCTCCTCCATCTGACGCGATGTCCGTGTCTGAGCACGTGGAACAGCATAATGGCGTGTTTGTGAATTCAGAATCAAATGCTTATACGGAGTCTGAGATAGACCTGAAAGGCAAAGGAAAGTTTCTTGACCTTAATTTGCAGACCAGTGTTTCTCAAGAGATGTCTCAGATTTCAGGCCCTGATAGGAAATCAGGGCCCACTCCCTTAAGTCAAACTGGATTCCGAGATCCTGCAAGCATGGGGGCTGGGCAACAGCTTACGGTGCTGAGTATAGAGGTGCTTTAACTAAAATGCCTGCTGTAGTAAAAATGAATACCCTTTAATTTAAGATAATGTTTTCTGGGAAATGGTTTGTTGATGCATGTCAATATCTCTATAAACTTACAGGTTCATGCAGAGTCTAGAGGGGACCTGCGACCTGACCCACGATTTGATTCTGTCAATGTCATAGCTCTCGTCGTGCAGAATGACGATAATCTCGCAGCTGAAGTATTCGTGCTTTTATTTAGTCCAGATAACTTGTATCAGAGGTAACATACGAGATCACTTACTTTGTTTTTTAAGAAATTGTGCAGCTACTATGAACTTCAATCATTTACTTACTCTAATATGCTTTTTCGATCTTGTTATCTTACTACAGAAACGTTGATGGCCTATCTGGATGCAAGTTGTCTGTCTTCCTTGAAGAGAAGCAACTATTCACTTACTTTATTGAGACTTTATGTAAATGGGATCCAGATGTTCTTGTGGGATGGGATATACAAGGCGGATCTCTTGGTTTTCTAGCTGAAAGGGCTGCACAGCTTGGCCTAAGGTTTCTCAATAATATTTCCAGGACACCATCTCCGGCCACGACAAAAGATTCAGACAATAAGAGAGATCTTGGTAATACTCTGCTGCCAGATCCTTTGGTAGCTGATCGTGCTCAAGTAGATGAAGTGGTGATTGAGGACGAGTGGGGCCGCACACACGCTAGTGGTGTTCACGTTGGAGGTAGAATTGTTCTGAACGCATGGCGTTTAATTCGCGGGGAAGTGAAACTCAACATGTACACCGTTGAAGCTGTGTCGGAGGCTGTTTTGAGGCAGAAGGTTCCATCGATCCCTTATAAAGTATTGACACAATGGTTTTCAAGTGGTCCTACTGGTGCAAGATATCGATGCATAGAATATGTGATTCGCCGAGCAAAGTTAAACCTTGAGATAATGAGCCAACTTGACATGGTATGTAACATTTTCAACTTGGTTTATATAGTGAATTATCTGCAAGTTTTTATCACTTACTTAATCATCGTTTGCAGATAAATCGTACTTCCGAACTTGCTCGTGTTTTTGGCATCGACTTTTTCTCAGTTCTCTCCCGAGGTTCTCAATACAGAGTGGAATCCATGCTTCTGAGATTAGCACATACACAAAATTATCTTGCTATTTCTCCAGGAAACCAACAGGTTCGCTTTATCTTCACAGATTGTTGTCCTTATGATAGCATCTATATCATACGACTTGCAGTTAATCTTCATAATCTTTTCACGCTCTTATTACTCGTTAGATTTCTGCTAACTAAATTAAGTGATCATGTAGGTTGCTTCTCAGCCAGCTATGGAATGTGTACCTCTTGTGATGGAACCAGAATCTGCCTTCTATGATGATCCTGTTATTGTGTTGGACTTTCAATCTCTTTACCCTTCAATGATTATAGCATATAATCTGTGTTTTTGTACATGCCTCGGAAAACTTGCACATTTGAAGATGAACACCCTTGGGGTCAGTTCATACTCACTAGACCTTAATGTTCTTCAGGATTTTAATCAGATCCTGCAGACCCCAAACAGTGTGATGTACATGCCATCAGAGGTATTTATGCATTGTTTTCTTGAAAAAACTATATCTTAAATCTAAATTCATCATACTCAATACAAAAAGATGATATTATTTCCCAATAGTATCATTCTTTTCTGCGTGATTGTTCCTTTTCTTGATTAGCTTAAGCGTAACGGTCACCTCCTCTTGTTACATGTAGGCGCGCAGAGGAATATTACCAAGGCTGCTAGAGGAAATTCTATCTACAAGGATAATGGTGAAAAAAGCAATGAAGAAGTTGACTCCGTCAGAAGCAGTTCTTCACCGGGTATGGTTATATCTTGATCAGAGTCCTTACCTAATATTTTGACTAGCCAAGATTTTGCTTCCAGCATTTTTGGTGTCTGGTTTCATCTTATGAACATTTTCTAAACAAGATTTGCAATTTTTCTGTTATATGGTGTCTTCTTACAGATATTTAATGCGAGGCAGCTTGCTTTAAAGCTGATAGCAAATGTGACATATGGCTATACTGCTGCTGGCTTTAGTGGTCGAATGCCTTGTGCAGAGCTGGCAGATAGTATTGTCCAGTGTGGTCGTAGCACACTTGAGAAGGCTATTTCATTCGTCAATGCCAGTGATAAATGGAACGCTAGAGTTGTATATGGCGACACTGATAGGTAATTTCAATATCTACTCATCTGGATGAAATTGAAGTTATGTATCACAGTTTCTTTATTTGCTTCTTACCGTGTGGCCTCATGCATTTTAATTACTTTGTGTAGTATGTTTGTCCTTCTCGAAGGAAGAACTGTGAAAGAAGCTTTTGTAGTCGGACTAGAGATCGCATCTGCAATAACTGAAATGAACCCATACCCGGTCACTCTAAAGATGGAGAAAGTTTATCACCCTTGTTTCCTTCTTACAAAGAAGCGTTATGTTGGGTACAGTTATGAAAGTCCTGATCAGAGTGAGCCTATATTTGATGCAAAAGGTATTGAAACTGTTCGAAGAGACACTTGTGCAGCTGTTGCAAAGACTATGGAGCAGTCGTTGAGACTCTTTTTCGAGACAAAGAACATCTCCACGGTAAAAAAAATAAAAAAATGATTTCGTTCGCTCTTTGAAGTAACTGCAGTGGCTCACGTCTTCATTTCACTGTGCAGGTTAAGTCGTACTTGTATAGACAGTTGAAACGGATACTACAAGGGAGAGTGTCTATTCAAGACTTTATCTTTGCAAAAGAAGTTCGTTTGGGTACTTATAGCGCAAGAGACTCTTCACTCCTTCCTCCAGCAGCTATTGTGGCAACCAAATCAATGAGAGCAGACCCTCGGACAGAGCCACGCTATGCTGAAAGAGTGCCTTATGTTGTGATCCATGGCGAGCCAGGAGCTCGACTTCTTGATATGGTTGTGGACCCACTGGTTCTCCTGGACATAGATTCGCCTTACCGATTGAATGACTTGTACTACATCAACAAACAGATTATACCAGCTCTGCAAAGGGTGTTTGGACTTGTGGGTGCAGACTTGAACCAGTGGTTTCTGGAGATGCCTCGTCCCACTAGAGGCTCCCTTGGTCAACGTCCCTTAAACACTAGAAACTCGCACAGAACAAGAATTGATTCTTTTTATCTCTCGAAACATTGCTTCTTGTGTGGAGAAGTTGTTCAGGCATCTGCTCAGCTATGCAGCCGGTGCCTCAGAAATGAAAGTGCTGCTGCTGCAACCACTCTTTGGAAGACTTCGAAATTGGAGAGAGAGATGCAACACCTAGCCACAGTAAGTACTTCTCAAAATCTAACACTTTAATGAAACTTTTTACAGATCTCTGTAGATGCATTTTCAACTTTTTCTTGGTCCCATCACTTGCTTATCTGCAGATATGCAGACACTGTGGTGGAGGAGACTGGGTGGTGGAACGCGGAGTGAAATGCAATTCCCTTGCTTGCTCAGTCTTTTACGAGAGAAGGAAAGTTCAGAAAGAGCTTCGTGGCCTCTCCTCCATTGCTACTGAGAGTGAGCTTTACCCTAAATGCACGGCTGAATGGTTCTGACATTATTCGGAAGATCATTATCTCGAAGTTGATTGCTTATGTTTGATAAGGTTGGGATCAAAGATTGTCATGGACGTGTGAATATGTGTGTAGTATAGATTCATCCGCTCACCATTTTGTTCAGTGAGCAATGTAGATCTCTGTGTTGTGTTGTATAAAGTCTTGTAATTATAAGCAATTTTGAAAGAAAAAAAAGACAATTATATTTCTCTGTATATAAATGTTCAGAGCAACAAGAAGATAAATGCTCTCTAGAACCATTCACAGGAATCTTGATATTATTAAGGGCCCTACCAGAAAATCCTTCTACACTATGATTCACAGGAATCCTTATACACTAAGTGTTGACTCGCACTTGTTTTGAGGTTCTGCTTATTATTCCACTGGTAATTATCTGGAAAAACCAATTGTAACACAATTTCTAGAAGTACAGGGCCAAAATATGCATCAAAGGTAGTAGGAATAATAGACAAAAGTTGAGCCTAAGTGTGTATATATTCTTCGTTTCGTATCATTTTTAAATCTCCTGATCTTATATAAACAAGAAATCAGTAGAAGTTTGATATGAAATACTTCCTAAATTTTTTATATTTTTTTTTGAGTTTATAAAAGCGACAAGAAAAAAAATCTGACTAAGATTTACACAAACCACGTTGCAATCTCATTCGGACATTTAGTCGAACACCTGATCTACGTTTATATATAGAGTCTCAGTAGAAATTAAATATATCCTTTATAAAAGACAAAATTCGAGCAATTATCTCGAACCAGCCCAAAATTCCAACTAACTACTGCTGGGCCCACTCGAAAGTAGGACCCTCCAAAAATAGGCGTATGCCACTTAGCGTGGAGAGCACACGGTATTCTTTAGTAAAAGGCGAAAGAATAGTTCGCTTTGTGCTCACCACATGGCTGCGTGATTCGCATAGTGAGGACGAAGCCTTTATTTATAATAGAATTTCTGCTGCTCATTACTCTAGTTTCCCGATGTGGGACGAAAGACCAAAACAGCGCTACTTAATTAAAACTCTTCGTGGGTTTTGTTGGGCCTGCAAAATTGGGCTATTCTTATTGTTAATACGAAGTTCAAAATCTGCAATCTTTTCCCATAACAAAGCGGGAAAAAGGTTTTTTACTCGTAAACGAATTTACACATTCGTTATCTTCAATCATACATTATTCTACTACCATACCATTTGTATACTTTTCTAGCATTACTTTCTGCAAATTTCAAATCGTAAAACAAAAACCCATTGCACTCGATATTAGTTCTGTGAATTCAAAATTTTGATACCAATTCGTCTGTATCAATGTTTTTGATTAAAAAAAGAACTGTGATGTAAACCACCAAAATGGCTCTGTAAAATCTGACACATGTAATTCATAAATCATAAAAGCATTCTTTAAAAAGACACAATATTGTAAAGCATAGGGTATGCAAATTTCCGATCCCGTTGGAGATCTTCCCGTCGAAATCGAATCCATCTGGAGCTGTCGATGGCATCCACGGCGTTCATGAGTGACTCAGACGAGGAGGCCACTGCAACAATATGTGTTCTCTAGAGACTCAAAACATCCACAATGGCTTTTTGTATGCATTAAACACATAGAACCTGACATATCTTGACGACCCTACACAACTATTTGCAGCATCTGATCATTAAAGTTGGAGTTTGAACTAAGAGTAAACACTACAACAAATGGAGCAAAGAGATCAGATCGGCGCTTCATCATCAAAAGCAATCTTATTTATCACTGTTATAAGTTCTCTGTTCCTGCAATGTTATTGTTTCCACAACATGACAAGAAGGATGATATCATTAACAATGTGCAAAATATGTTTATTTATGAGGATCAAAGGCATCTGAAGTTTGATACCAACTCCAATATTTTCAGATTCAGGACTCTTACTTTCAATTCAACAAGATGAGGTTAGGCAGTTGAAGTATTTTCAGATTAAGAACTCTCACAACTTTTAACTGATTCTTCGTTCATTACAACAAGATGATCGTCGAATGAGGTTTTGTCATTCTGGCTTGTAAGAACTTCTTCTGTGAGAGATGGCTCTACTGTCTCAGAGAAACCCACAAGAACGGATTCAAGAAAAAAGGCTCATGAATCCTCCCTCAAGTTCATCAACATTTGATTTCATGTTATGCCTGAAACAGAAAAGAAGGAGCCTTTGTATATTTACCTCAGACATGATTTTTCAGGTTCAAAATGAACAGAACTGCACACTGCACCAGACAGAGTTCAATGGTCGAATATGCAAACTACTCACTCTCAAGAAAATCTTTTGAAAAGTGAAATGATATAACAAGTTGTATCTTTTCTAATGCCATAAGACATATATAGTCATGAAAAGTTGAATAGATAACAGTTACGAGGAAACTTATCAAACAGTGGTGTTGTGAGTTATAACCGTGAAACGTGTAATATCTATTGTTATGCCTATGGTGGAGTATATAATACTTTCACCTACAAGGGAATAGCAATTTGCTATGTCTTTGTTCCAACTAAATAAGAGAGAAAGAATACAGAAACGTTCTAAAAACCTCATTTCCAGTGTGAGGAAAAGTGAATAAATGCAAGCTAAAAATGATGCTATAGAACCTAAACTTCCAATGAGAAGCGATGGTTTCAGTCACATCAACAAGTAAATATACCATCATCACATGTACAACGGATACTGCAAGAAGATCCCATGAATTGTCCATATTGAGTCACAAAAGGAAAATGAATCCAATCAGAGTAGTGAATAACTAAAATACCTGAATTTGACGGCAAAATCAGACACTCACTGACCAAATCATGCTATCCAGATTGGGAAATACAAAAAAACGAGTAAAGAATTGTTTCTTCATTGAATTAAATAGATTGTACAAGTGTTGAATTAAAGATGACGCTTTCAGTAAAATGAGAAGGTTTCATTAACATCAACACAAGTCATTTACCTGCTGTACTGTGGATACTGCAAGAACATCCCATGAGCTGTCCAAAATTAAATCCTTCCATTAGCTGATACTTTATAAAGTACAATAGAATAGCATGAGAAAATAAAAATCCATGGAGATGCAATATCTGAAGTGGACTTACTTGCAACAGCTATTGGCAAAGATCTATGCTAAGAAAGCCACTGGTGAAAAATCCTGATGATGGAAGTCTCGACTATATTTGATTTTAGCTGAGCCAAAGGTATTACCTTGCGTATCAGAGAGTTGATGCATCCCCTGAAATAAGACAAGCAACAGAGAATCCCCATAGAAACTGATAATCTTCAACCTCTAGCATAATCCTTCTACACAGTGAAAGCCAAATGAAATCAAAAGATAAACTTGCGACCCATTCAGCAGAGGAAGGATAGTATAATTGGTTGAAGTCATTGAGCCGGGCGTGAAAGCAGAGAAAATATGTGTTTAATGGAGGCAAGTTCCAGAAGGCAGAACAAAAGGGCTAGAATATGCATCCAAGGCAGTACGAACAGAACAGGAGACACAAGTTGAGCCTAAGTGTAGATTTTCTTCGTTTCAAATCTCCTGAAATCGAAAAAGATAAAGACAATTGTGAAAACTAATATCATAACAAGTAATCAGGAGAATTTAGAATGCAATTGCTTCCTTAAATTTCATATTTTTTTTTTTTTGAGTTTATAAAAGCCACAGCAAACAAACAAAACCCACATTGCAAATAAGCCTCATTCAGACATATAGTCGAACACCTGATCTGCAATATATATTAAGCGTCGTTAACTACTAAATCAAAACTAATGAATCCATTACCACCTATTCTGTAAATGTTTATTTACAAAATAAAGAAGCGACCATTGTTTTCAATTCCAAATAATATAAACTTATAATCATCTTAACCTGAAACCATTGTTTCTACCCAAAATTACCGCCAAGAGAGCAGAAACACATCGAAACAGACAAAACATTTTATCTCCTTATTGTATGAAAAAAAAGTGAAAAGAGAAGGAAATAGAGCGAAAGATTGTTTATAACGTCTCATATATTAACATTTATGCTTAGGAAAAACGGAGCATTACAAAATTAGTAGTATTTAATACGAGCAAATACAAAGAAAACAAAATTTGTTGACACAGTCAAACATGAATCAGTTATTGCAGCAAAGATCTAAAGATTATCAGTTATTGCAGCAAAGATCTAAGAGATCATCATCGATCCAGCTTCTCATTTCTTCCTCCGCAGGTAATAACAATAAATCCATGTAAGAATCATTACCACAATCTTGATTATAGTCAAAGCTTGGAGGAGCAGAGTTGGGCAGTTGAGTGAACGTACCATCGATGATCATGTAATCGTCGGTGGTGGTGTTGCCCTCAAAGTTGTTGTTGTCGGGAAAGAAGCCGTTGTTAAGCCCAAACGCATCTTCGTTACACAGATTATCCCAAAAGCTCTGATCTTCATACCCACCGACATTGATCATTGTTGAAACCACATTCGTCTGATCCTCAACAAGCTTGTCTTCTTTGAACATCCCTTCACGACTTTCCAAGGAAGCATCCGACACTTTCTTGTTGTTTTCGGACGATGCCTTCTTATTTAGGAACATGGAAAGGTCGGTGCTTTTCTTCTTCTTTTCCTTGTCGCTTAATCTGCTGAATCGCTCGGCCATGTCTCTCACCTTGGCTCTATCCTCGGGCCATGTCTTGACAAACTCGCCTTCACGGTCGTAACATATGATGCAGACATCGATAACGCATAGCTCGGAGAGCTCGTACGCTTTCTTGACAACCGTCGCCTCTCGCCTCTTGTACAGAGCAGACGAACAAGAATGGTAAAGATTCGGGTCTTCCCACCCAAACCCTAACTTGGATTGGGGGTTAACCTTTGGAGGAGGAAGCTTGCCGCCCTTAAGGTAGCAATTGGCAATTTCCGAGGCAGAAGAGTAGCCGGAGAAGGAGTAAACAACGTCGGAAGTTTCGGCCGGAGAGGTTACCAGCACGGCGATGTTAGCACCGGAGAGAATGCAGAGATCGGCGGCTTTGGAGAAGAGCGTTTGACGGCGTTTAGAGCAAGCCACCGATCGTTGCTCCTTTGTCTCGCGTTTCTTTATTTCAATCTTTCTCTTTGTCCTTTTCACCATTGTCGTCGTCATCCTCCCGCAGTACTCGGAAATTAGGGTTTCAACGGTAACAACGGAACAAAATCTGATGAAATCTGCACCGGTCTTAATCAATTTCGACACTTTTCGTAGTCAGAAACAACAAAACGTTGGAAAACCTAATCAAGCTTGACGGCAAAATTGACAGAAAAAAGAGAGAGTGAAGA